AAAGAGGCTGATTATTGTTTTGAACTGTGTTCACATTGTGTGTGTGTGTGTGTGTGTGTGTGTGTGTGTGTGTGTGTGTGTGTGTGTGTGCGTGCGCGCAAAAAGTCCTTTCCTCACTCTTTTTCCTCGGCCTCCCCTCTCCTCTGTCATGTGACCAGATTCTCATGCTTTGCCCATTTGTTGAATGTCTGCTGCTTGGCACATGCCTGTTTCAGCTGCGGTCAGTTCTAGGTGCTTTGGCACATGCCCTTTCCAGTAGCTTCCCTCTTGACAGTCATTGGTCCTGTGATTATAATGTATCTTTATACCTTTTCAAATTTGTTATGTTCCTGATTTATTAATTTCGGATAGATGAATGGACCTGGAGAATTATTAAGATGAAGGGGAAGTGTTTATAATTCATCTTTTCTGAAACATGTTGTTGTCTTCATTAAAAAAAAAACTAGAGTCCTGGTCAGGACTGACTGGCTAGTAAAATGTTGGGTTAGAGGAGCTTGTCTTTATTGGATGAGGAATTCAGGTTGGTGAATTTCCTTAAAGCCTCCATTGTCCTGTTCATTTTTCTCCCTTCTGATCTTGGCGTATGTAACAGGTTTCTTTTTTTAAACGATGCGTAGAAAACTCACACAATCAATTAACCTGGGTTCACAGGGGCTCACAGAGACCGAACTGACAACCATGGAGCCTGCATGGGACTGACCTAGGCCCTCTGCCCATATGCTACAGTTGTGTAGCTTGGTCTTCTTGTGGGACTCCTAACAGTGGGAACAGGGGCTGTCTCCGACTTTTTTACTGGCTTTTGGGACCCTACTCCTCATACTGGGTCTCATTGCCCTGCCTTAATACATGGGGAGGTACTTAGTCTTACTATAACTTGATATTCAATGTTTTGTTGATAGTCATGGGAGACCTGCCCTTTCCTAAACAGGAATGGAAAGAAGAATGGATTGGAGGGTGGGAGCAGAGGAGGGGGGGGGGCTGGGAGGAGAGGAGGGAGGGGAAACTGCAGTTAAGATGTAAAATAAATAATAAACAAATTATTTTAAAAGATGCATTCTGTTTTTATTTATGTGCCATTGTATGTGCCTGTGTGTATGTATGTGTACTTACCTGTGCTCACATGTGGAGGCCAGAAGAGGGTGCTGAGTACCATGGTGCTTGGAGTTACAAGTACCTGTGAGCCTTCTGACATGGGTGCTGGGAACTGAACTCCTGTCCAGTCCTCTGCAAGAGCAGCAAACGCTCTTACCTGCTGAGTGATTCTCCAACTCAGGTTTCTCCAACTCCAGGCTTCTTAATACATCTAGAAGACATGTTAGTAACAAGGCTGTCTGCCATCATCCTTCCTCTGGGTGTTCCTGTGGAGTGTTAGAGTCCTGAGCTGGGGGATAGCTCATCTGTATTTTGTCTGTCTATCTATCTATCTATCTATCTATCTATCTATCTATCTATCTATCTATCTATCTATCTATCTATCTATCTATCATCCATCCATTTATTTACTTAGGTGTTTTTGATGCAGGGTTTCTCTGTGTAGCTCTGGCTGTTCTGGAACTTGTCCTGTAGACCAGGCTAGCCTCAAACTCAGAGATCTGTCTGCCTCTGCCTCCTGCCTCTGTGCTGCGATTAAAGGTGTGCATCACAATACTGGGCCCTCCCAAGAATCTCTTAAAAGAAAGGGGGCGGGCTGCTAAGTCCAGA